TTCTCTTCTATAAATAGGAGAGATTTCAATGAAGAAGATACAAAGTTTTTATTTACAACAAGTTTTATTTTCACAAATTCCTTGCAGAAGCTCTGCCGAATTTGCGAACCGTTTCCAGCTTTCATTTTTTCTAATTTTCTTGTTTTATATTCCCTTTTACCCTTTAATAGCCATTTCCAACATTAGGAAATTGCTATTTTAGTTAGAATTTGTTTTTAGCCTCAAAATTCGTTTCAAGTTCCGATTCTGAAGGTTCCAATCTTGCCGACTTGTGGAAGAGGGAGCTTGAGGAATAATATTATTATTCAGGTTTTTAATCGCATTTAATTTAACTTTAATACAATTTGCTTATGTTAAATTACTGTTATTTATTTATCATGAATGTTTTATTGTTTCCCGATTATATTTCCTGTCTGTCTGTTTCAAGTACCATGACTAGCTAATTTTCTAGAGGCGGGATGTGATAATAGTAACTAAATGGATTAAATTGTTCCTAAGCTAAAATTCAAATTAACTTAATTTCTGGCTGTGACTTTTTATAATTAAAATCAATCTTTTTGTTACGAGAGTAAGGAAAGTAGAATAGGTTACAATCAAGATCACGAGAGTGTGAGGTTTTAACCGGATAGCTAAAGTTAGACATTTGATTTAAATACAACGAGAGCGCTTTAAAACGAATTAGATTTTATTAAGTTTTCAAAGAGTATTTTCTAAACACTTATGGGCTAGCGAGAGCAGGCATAGGGCTTTAGGGGTATAATCCGAGATAAGACCATGAAAGTGTGAGTTGAGGGTTTTTAAACTGATAATTTCTACAGAACCATCTAAGTTAAACATCTTTATATGCTTAGGTTTGATTAAATCCACTTAGGTTCACTATATTACATACCGACCATTTTATTATTATTATTATTCCCTTAGTTCGATTTAGTTTTCCTCTACTTTAATTTCCCCCAAAAATCCAATTATTCATTAGCCTTAGCTTTACAAAGTAGCGATAGATTGCAGTAGGTTGACATTGGTCTCTGTGGTTCAACAATATTTTATATTACTTCGATATTTCCGTGCACTTGCGGAATTTTACACATCAGTTGGTTGTGGCATTTGAGGTTTGGACATTTGAATTTTCGATCACTTAATCAACTGATTACTCAAGATATGGTTACTGGTAGTCCAGGTCTTGAGATGCCTGAAAAACTTTGTGAAGGTTGTTTAGTGGGAAAGCAATCCAGAAATTCTTTCGTTTCGACTATGTCAATGAGATCATCCTGCATTCTCGAAGTGGTGCATTTAGATGCATGTGGTCCATTTGAAGAACATACAATTGGTGGAAATAGATATTTTGTTTCCTTTTTCGATGAGTTTAGTCTAAAGTTGTGGATCTATGTGATCAAATGAAAGAACGGAGTATTCGAAATCTTTAAGAGATTCAAGATACTTGTCGAAAACCAGAGTGAGAAGAAGATCAAAGTTCTACGAACAGATGGAGGTTGCGAATACACATCCAATATGTTTGAAGATTTCTATGCAGAACATGGTGTTGATCATGAGATAACTGCTCCTTACACACCTCAACATAATGGAATTGCTGAAAGAAGAAATAGAACCATATTAGATATGGCAAGATGCATGCTGAAGCAAAATAATTTGCCAAAATCTTTATGGGGAGAAGCTGTTTCGACTGCAGTTTATATTTTGAATAGGTGTCCTACTAAGATATTGAAGAACAAGGTTCCTGAAGAAGTGTGGAGTGGAAAACGACCATCAGTAAGTCACTTGAAGGTGTTTGGATCTATGTGTTACAAGCATGTTCCTGATGCAAGGAGAAGGAAGATTGATGACAAGAGTGAACCTATGATTCTGGTAGGATATCATAAAACTGGTGCATACAGAATATTCAATCCAGTTAATGAAAAGATTGTGTTGAGTCGAGATATTGTGATTAATGAAAATTCTGCCTGGGATTGGAATTCTAGCAATTCAATTAACAAATCTTTAATGAACTTTGATTTCGACGAAGAAACTAATGAAGTATAGGTCGAAGAAATTGTTGAGAATCCAGTCGAAGTCGAAGAGGAAGCGGTTACTGACACTCTGGTCACAATCGAAGTCGAAGAGGTTGTTGCTGAAACAAGCCAAAGACCTCAAAGAAATAGAGTTCTTCCAACAAGACTACATGATTATGAGGTGATGGGTGATGATGAAATCACACCAGATGGAGAATTAGTTCATTTTGCTTTACTTGCAGGTGTTGAACCAATCAACTATAGCGAAGCTTTGAAGATTAACAAGTGGAAGTTAGCTATGGTCGAAGAGTTATAGGCAATGAAAGAAACAACACATAGGAGTTAGTCGAATTGCCAACACATACAAAAGCTATCGAAGTAAAGTGGGTGTTCAAGTTGAAACACAATGCAGATGGGTCAATAGCAAGACATAAAGCAAGATTAGTAGCTCGAGGTTTTCTTCAAAGAGCAGGACTTGACTACTCTAAAGTATTTGCTCCAGTAGCAAGATTAGAGACTGTTCGACTAGTAGTAGCATTGGCATGCAACCAAGGCTGGTCAACATTTCATCTAGATGTGAAATCAGCATTTTTGAATGGTCCTTTAGACGAAGAAGTTTATGTCACACAACCTCCTGGGTTTGTGATTCATAAGGAAGCGAGTAAAGTATATAGATTTCACAAAGCGCTTTATGGCCTCAAGCAGGCACCTAGGGCATGGAACAAGAAGATCGACTCATACTTAGTCGAATTAGGATTTGTCAAATGCAAATCAGAGTATGGTGTCTATGTTCAGGTTGTAGCACAAGATATAACAATCATATGCTTTCATGTTGATGACTTGCTAGTAACTGGAAATAGTTTGGAGAACTTGTCGAAGTTCAAAGAGCTGATGACAAAGGAATTTGAAATGTCGGATCTAGGAAAATTGTCTTCTTTTCTAGGCATGGAATTTCAAATGTCGAAGCAAGGTATGGTGCTACATCAAAGAAATTATGTCAAAGAAATACTCAAGAGATTCAGAATGGATGATTCGAATCCTGCATCCTCACCCGTCGAACCAAATGTGAAGTTGGAGAAGAATGGAGAGGAAGACAAAGTCGATGCAACTTTGTTCAAGCAAATTGTGGGATCTCTGAGGTATGTGTGCAATAGTCGACCTGATATAGATTTCGCAATCGGATTAGTAAGCAGATATATGAGTGAACCAAGAGTGTCACATATGAAGGCTGCAAGAAGAATCCTTCGATATTTGAAGGGTTCAATAAATTGTGGAATACTATTTCGACGAGATTCTGAAGGCAAAGAAGCAATAGTTAATTGTTTTTCAGATGCTGATTGGTGTGGAGATAAGGAAGATCGAAGAAGCACAACTGGATATTTCTTTCAAGTATTTGGTGCCCCAATCTCATGGTGTTCGAAGAAGCAACCTGTGGTGGCATTGTCATTGTGTGAAGCTGAATATATAGCGGGATCCTATGCTGCATGTCAAGCAATTTGGATCAGATCTGTACTTGAAGAAATGACCGTCGAAGTGAAGAAACCTTTAGTATTGCAAATCGACAACAAGTCAGCCATAAATCTGGCGAAGAATCCAGTTCTGCATGGAAGAAGTAAATATATTGAAGCATGGTTTCACTTCTTGAGGGAAAAAGTAAATCAAGGTGAACTTGAAGTTAGACATTGCTCAAGTGAAGCACAGTTGGCTGACACTTTCACCAAAGGATTGAAGATCGACATATTCCTGAATTTGAGAAAGAAATTAGGAATAGTTCAGATTGACTATTTTTGAGGATGTTCGACAACTTGGATTATGGAGGTGTGTTGAAATATTGAATTAGATTAGATTTGATTTGATTAGATTTAATATTTAATATAATCCAAGTTGTGTTAGCCCAAACCCAATTAGGGTTGTATATAAATAGTCATAGTGTGTATCATTATTTGTACACTTGAATAATACAAATCCTTATTTCTTTTATTATTCTCTCTTTCTCTCCTCACTAAAAGTGTCTCACGCACTAACAATATATATATATATATATATATATATATATATATATATATATATATATATATATATATATATATATATATATATATATATATATATATATATATATATATATATATATATATATATATATATATATATATATATATATATATATATATATATATATATATATATATATATATATATATATATATATATATATATATATATATGTGTGTGTGTGTGTTTTTCATTTGTCTTGGTTTTATGTTTTGTATAAATTTTTGTCTGTAATGCGAAACAATGAGAAAAATAATGGATTTTCTTGCCTACCTTTTTTTTCTGTTACTGGCAGCATTGAAATCGAAAATATATTGTCGGTTTACAATCATAATTATACTTTTGATATTAAATCAATTTTAATAAAAAAATGTCTACACCGAAAATATATTTTCGATTTCAAAAAAATATTTTAGAAATTACGTAATATTTTCTTTTGGATATGAAGTGGAATAAAAAGTCTCCTAACTTTTATATTCAATTTGCCTCCCACAAACTCAGTAATAGAGAATTTAATAAGAGTCTGAAGTACAAAGATAAACTAACTGAATTATCACAAACTCTAAAAATAAACTCAATAATAGAGAATTTAATAAGAGTCTGAAGTACAAAGATAAACTAACTGAATTATCACAAACTCTAAAAATATATTAGACAAAAACAATGGCCAAAATAATCGGATAAAAAGAGAGAATTTAGCTTTAGTATTTTCTTTTTTTTATAGATAGAAGCTAAATGTCCATAAGACAATAAGAAATAATTCTAAATTATTCATTATGGATACAAGCTCTATCCAACCATATACAACAAGACCATAACCTTAACATCTTTTTGTGACTAATTATATTTATTCTTTCAAATTTAAGAACCTTGATATAAGCTATTACCTCATCGTAAAGCATTGGCAACAAACGTTGAACCCAAATATGACATGTATCATTAGCCACCCCATGAAGACCAACCAACCTTGTCCTCAAGGTTGTAGAAGCTGTTCCAACCTTTCCAAATTTTAATACACCCTCTAAAAGTGTTGTAGAGCATAACTTTGGAGTAATTAGAGTTAGCTTCAACAAAAGAGGCCAACCTAGCAGCAAGAGGAATCACATGTTCTTTATACATGCCCTTAATAAAAACTTCAATCAAGTTGATATCAATGAGTAATTTGGTATATGTAAAAGTCCTTGTCTTTCCACTGTCAAGAATGGCTACAACCAGCCATTTCCTCAATAGCAGTCATGCTTTTTGTAATAACACCTTGTTGAAAAAATTTATGAGAACCAATAGCCATTGACACAAACAAAATGGTTGTCATAAAAATAGGAATTATACCAATAAAAATGACTAATAGGTTGTCAATTTCATCACAATATTTGTGATGTTGAATAGGACACATGATTAGAGTCTTAGCCAACATACCAACTACAATGGAACAAATACAGAAGTTTTCGATTGATTTGAGAATCATTTGGCATTGTGCTAACATTGTTTGTATTGTCAACCAAATGTGTTGCTCTTACGAAGAATGTGTGGACACTTGTTGCAATAACAATGACTTCAATTTCTCCTTGTTTGCAAGTTGAGCCTGAGAAAACTTTTTGTTCTGGATGTTGAGTGACCGGGAGTGATCGGCTGGTATGATGTTACTAAGTTTGGAGCTAATGATATCACTTGGATCTAGGATTGAAGCTTCTTTCTCACTCAATTTACCATCTCTAAGAACCTTTATCTTAGGAGCAAAGTTTGGCATAAGAGCAGCAACATCATCACCCAGCATTGTTTTGAGAGCCAGACCTTTAATGGCAAGTGCAATCACTGCCATCTTCAGTGTCTCTGGTGTGAGTCAGTTCTTGAAGTATTTTTCAGTGCAAATCACCCATCAATAAGCATCTATTTCGCAATCAAACACCAAAATCACCATCTCCGATAGATTATCGGGTGGAAGTGATCATGAATGAAAACACCAAGGTTATGGTTAGGAAATTTGATTACTCTACTTCAAAGGGTAGAGAAGGCTCCTCGGAAGAAAGATAAGAAAAAAAAGACTAATTTCTCATTTCATAATAATTTTCCTGGTCAATACAAGTTTATATAGCCGTATGCGATAACTGAATTATAGTAACAAACTAGTAAGAGAATATGAACAATGCTAGTAAACTTATTCTAAAATTTAGGTGAGTCACCCTATAAGTTTATATTCGGGTTAGATATTATATTTGGCTTCCTAGATCATAACATAATGCTTGTTAATGTAAGGTTATTTTTATTTTACTTACACCATTTTGGTTTTTGAAAGCACTTGACGATCTCAATTACATGTTGAGTGTATTAGAAAACACGAGTTTGTACTTATGTTGTCATATTGATTCGCAATCATTTTTCAATTATATCATCTTCAACTTGCAGATGATACATTAATTTTGGTTTAGAAAAATTTAGAAATAGAATAGCTATAAAATTCAACTTAATTCTCTATGAATCCACCTCAAATTTTAAAGTTAATTTAAGAGCTTGTTTGTGGGCATAAATGTATTGAATTCCTTAGTATAAAGTATGGCTAATGTGAGGGGGTGTGTTTTTAGAACAACCATTGATTATATGAAAGTTTGTTGATGGGACATTCATTATATTTTTTTGTTTATGTGTTAATCAAAATATGTCAGTATGAGAGGATATGGATTCTCTGACATTTACCCGAAACGTCAATCTACCTTTCAAAAAATTTGGGTTGTTCGAATCATTTGATGCTTGAAATTAAACCAAGTGTTAAATTAATTTTTTAATTAAAAAAATTGAGTAACCAACCTATTAGCATCTCTCCAACTACTCAATCATCTTTAGACTATTTGTACGGGGTGTTGAATAATTTTTCAATAGTTGAATTGCTCTAATGGATTGTTGAATAAAGTGTTGAATGTGACATAGATTAATTTGTGTCGAAAATATTCAACATATTAAATGAAAAATGAGTAGAAGCCACTTATAATAATTTGTAAAATATAATTGGTTGTTGTGATTGTTTATATTTTTATCTCACCTAAATTATTTGGAGTCAATTATTTTATAGAAAATTAATTTTTTATTTATTTTTATTTTCACCAAAATTCATCATTTTTTTTGTCTATAAATAAAGATTTGGTTCATTTGATTTGGACCAAAATTTTTTTTTTCTCTCTAATTAAAAAAAATTAAAAAAATTTATTTAACTCTTAATTATTTTAATTTAATTTCAATTGATAATTATTATTAATATATAATAAAAAACAAAAATAAAAACATAAAAAAAAATGATATAAAAGTGATGGAATAAGGTGTTGAATTTTATTAAACAAAACTATTGTAATGAATGTTGAATTATTAGGTAAAAGAGAAAGAAGATGATATAGAGTATAAAAAATGAGTGTTGAATAATTTTGTCATTGTAGATAGTCTTATCCAAACCATCCTCATTCTCACTGGATGCAAAGACCAGTCTTCGCTGCTTTCAGACTACTTACCACCACTGCTCCCTTTTTCGTCAACTGTGTTTTCCTCCTCGGAATCAATTATGCAGAGGCTTTTATCATAGCTATTTTAATCCAGTGATCCTAAATAGATACCAATAGGCGGGGGAAGTTGTGGTGGTAGGTGGCTCGAATGTTGTCGGTGAAGAGATGATGACAACATATATGTTTTTGTGGTTGTGAGAATGACAAACTTTCTTAATATTTATTTTGAGTTTGATTTTTTAGTAAGCATGTGATTTTAAGATTGTATCTATCCAGACTAAAATTAAACTTAAAATATTATTATTTACTAATTTTTATTTTAAAAATATATTCTTTTAATTCAAATACAAACTAATTTTAGTTTAGGTTTGATTTGTTAAGTTATGATTAGATTAGACTTGGTTTAAAATTTATATAAGACAAATGTTACAAAGTGAAGATATAAATAATCAAATATGATTTACCCTAAAATATTAAAAGAAAACTTAATTATTTAATTTCAAAGACTTATTACAAACATTGTAAATATAGACAGACATCCCCAAAGATTTAGTAGACAACAGTGTCTCCTACTGTGATGACCTTGTAACCAAAATAGATACAAGCAAAAATAACAGGAACAAAGAACTCCAAAAATTTCACAGTTTTTGAACTAGTATCATCTTTAATCACAAAAGCACTCATTTCTGTCCTCTTTGATTCCTTTTCCACAACAACATCGTTATCATCATCAACCTTTTCAACCGTGGCACCTTCAAGCACACCAACTTGGTATTTCTTGACTAAACTTTGAGCTGCTTTACTATGTCCAATAGCATCAAACTCCTTTGTTGCATCCTTCCCTGCAACCTCTAGAATCACTTCTTCTCCTCCGGGATGTTCCTCCAAAAACTTGGTCACGTCCAACACCTACAAACTCAAAATTCAAATACTTTTCGTCACGGTTTAAAGTGTTAAAGTATGAAATTATGACATGATTAAATATGTTACTACTTACTCTGCCGTTGATGACAAGCCAACAGTTTTTGTTGGATTTGTGTTGAGAGATTTGTGAGAGGGTGAAAACTCTTTGGTTTGCCATGGATGTAAATGAGGAGAAATAATAATGTTTATTATAGTTTGAGAATTGAAAGAATATGATTGGCAATGCAGTAGACTTAATAGTATGGTGGTAGATATGATGATTGGTGCATTATCACGTTTTTAGGTTATCAACTACCATTCTACCATGTGGGATAGGAAGATCAAACCATGTTAACTCGTTAAGCTGTAACCGTCTTTATAAAAAAAATTTAGTTTGATTTGACATTCTTAAAAGCTTCATTTCACTTGAAAGTCTATTTAAAACTCTATTTTACATTAAATTTTTAAAAAGTTCATTTTATCTATAAAGTTTTATCTATAATGTATATGAATATTCTTTTAATAATTTATATCAGATCTATTTAATTAAACAGGTTTTTAAATAAATCTCAGCTTAACTTATTTATTAGATAGGTCTGATTTAGTCTAAGTTTAAATAATCTAGGTTATAAATTTATGTAGGTCGGTTTGTCATATTCCCATTTTTAACGACAATTCAATGATAGGTTTAAAAAAAATATTAAAATAATTTTTTTTCTATTTAATATGATTAAAATATTTAATTTTAGGAGACATTCTATGATATTTTTCCGTTTAAATTTTTAAAATATTTATATTTTTTATTAAGATTGAATTATACCTCAAATGAATAACTTTATTATGTTAGATAAATTAAATGGTTAAATAAGTTTTTGATCCCTTTAAATATAACGGTTTTTAACTTTAGTCCTTCTAAACATTTTTTTAAATAGTGGTTATTCTAAAATTTTAATTTTAACTTTTAGTCCCTTCTGTAATTTAGTGACTACTTTTACAATTTAGTGACTGTTTTAACAATATTTTTGAAGACGATTTTTATTTAGCAACTGAATTAAAGATCATTTTAGCTACGGTTTTGCTATTAGAGACCAAAAATTAAAGTTAAAATTTTTAGAATGACCATTCTTTAAAAGAAATATTTAGAGGGATTAAAGTTGAAAACCACTATATTTAAAAGGACCGAAAATATATTTAACCTTAAATTAAATTATTTTATTTTTTAAAGTCTTTTATATAAGAAAGAGTAACGAAAGAAATTAATTTTTTATAAAATTAAAATTAAAAATTATTATGATAATAAAATTTATAATCTTCAATAATCTATTTTTATTAAAATTATTTATATATTTATTATTATGTAAGGTAAAGATTAAATATTATTAAAATTAAAAAATATAACTAACTTTAAAACGAAATATTAAATTAATATTAAGATTATATAAATATAATTATTTTTACTCAATAAATATTTCAATTATTCTAATTAGTAGTGAAGTTTCTTCTCATTAAGAAAAATCAATATATTTTATATAAAAACAAAGAAATCAAAAAACCATTAACTCAAATAAAAAAAAGATAACAAATCTATTTAGATCATAGAATTTATGTTTGATTGACTTGATTATTTATAATATGTGGTTTACTTAATTATCCATTTAAATTATTAGAGTTTTTATGCGTGCAATTCAATTTAAATAAATATATAATATAATTAACTATATTTTTACACACCTCTATTTTGAATACCAAAAACATTGATCGGAGTAAATCGATAATAGTACATGTGATTGTATTATTATTAATTTAACGTTTGTTATCCATTCAGATTCGCTAATATGTTTTTGTTTTTTTTATAAGCAAGATTATATTAATGAGAGAATTAAGAGTTCTCTAATCTTTTACATAAAGTGGATAAAGCCGCCAAAAAGAAGAAATTATAAATCAATTAACGATACGATAAAAATAGCAAAAGATTTTTACTAAACTCGTAGAAACTACAATTAGGATGTAATTATTTTGTAAAAAGACCACTTCTAAACCAACATTTTTATGCTCTATGCCGTATTATGTACATTCCAACTATCTTTCCAAAAACAAATACCATTTCTAAGCAATCATATACTTCAAGATGTAGCTAATCATAAAACCCCCAATTTTCCTCCCCTAACCTTTTTATCTCTACAAAAAGAGTATCAACTCATAAAATTTGAAAGATACTCTTTCATTCCATCATCTATCTTACCAACCCACCAAGCAATTTCCTTCCAATTTCTTTTAATCACATCACATAAGAGAAAAGTATGGTCTCTATCTTCCACCTTTAGTAAACAAAAAGAACAATTTAATTCAAATAAAGGAAACGGAATACCTCTAAACACCAATTGGTCCTTTGTTGGGAGCCTATTCATAAAAAGTCTCTAACAAAAAGCCTTGATTTTAAATGGAACCTCCATCTTCCAAATCAAGCTCAAAGCAACATCATTCCTATTTTTCGGTCCATAAGAAATCCTAAAACTCTCATAACAACCGTAACAAGAGGACACCGAGAAACATTTACCCGGATTAAGACTCCATTCAATCAAATCTGATCATTCTGATAGCCCACCAAACTCCTTCAACTTCCCTCTCAAAAGAATGTAATTAGACACAAGCTCGGGGTTTTGACCCACCGCGGTCAATAAGCCTAAATCAACCTAAAACCACCCATCGTTTATCCACCCTCCCATTCTCGCCACCGCCACTTCCTTCAAGCAAGAAGCAGAATAAAGACTCAGAAAAAGATCCTTCGAGAATTTCTCCTCCAACCATTCAGCTTCCTAAAATGGAGTTGTGAACCCATTCCGAATAGTAAAACTACTATTACACATAATAGGATCTTCAATAGAAAAATCTTTAATCTTCATAATATCCCTCCACCAAAAAGAACAAGAAGGAGAATTAGGGACCTTGGAGGCATTTCCACAAAAGACTTTGATTGACAAATCACCATAACGAGCTTTCAAGACTCTAAACCAAATATTATTTTGACCTTTCAATATTCTCCATCTTCTGATTTGGAGCTGCAGAACTCTTCGCAGACTCGCAATGATAGGTTCTCCAATCTCAGAGAAAAGAGAGAATAAATGCATGGAATCTATAGAGACATTGAGAAGACAAGCAATGGGGAGGAAGACAACAGCAGATACAGAGAATACCCAACGGCTTACGAGCGCAGGGATTTGAAAATTAAGATTCCGACGATTTTTTACTTCTTCTAGAATCACTTTTACACTCTTAGTTAAAATTGAAACCCAAACCAACAAAAAAATAAAGGTGATTTTAACATGTAAATTACGTATAAGTTAAAATTGATTTTTACTATAAAAAATACTCCCTCCGACCCAAATTAAATGTCACATTTAAAAGAAAAAAATTCTGAAATATTTATCAATTTAGATTATCAATACAATTTTATATTTAATCTTTCAATTGTACTCTCTAATAAATAATCTTAATTATTTTCTCACTTAACATTAATGCTAATTTGAATACACCAATAATTAATCAAGATAATTTGGTAAAATTTTATATTTAATCTTTCAATCGTACCATCTAATAAATAATCTTAATTTATTATTTTCTGATAATTTGATAAAATCACTATTCTCTCTTTCATTTATTATTGTTTCTTAATCTGAGTGAAATAGTTCATTGCGACAAATAATATGGGAGGGGAGGAGTATAACACTAATTAACCATACAAATTAAATCCAATTTTAGATATAATGTGGCCAATAATAACATTAAATTGAATGAAGAATATTCATAAAATAATAGCAATAGAAACAGTTAGTTAATTAAAAGTTCTTTAAGTACTAAAGCAAAATCTGGATAATTTTTAGCAAATATAGTTATTTTATTTAAGCCCACAAAATAACAGTGACATAGACTAGATCTACAATAACTTCCAAAGATATATTTCACATATCACACATCATAAATTGCTACCAACTGATACAATTATCCATTAAATCATAGATAATGGAACTGCAAAGCTATGGACACAATTTGAACATCTTCACAGGCCTCATGACATGTTATTAGAAATGTTATGGGCCATGCAACCCTGAAGATCACATGTCTGCTCAGTAATAGGTAGCAATTAACATTTAATTTGAAGATGCAACGTCAAAGATGCTATCTTGAACTTCTTATTTCTGGGCTGGGTTTTGACAACTCCGTGCTATCACTTTTCTCCTTCCTATCAAATTCCATTCCTTGAAATGTGACCCTTGACAACCTGTACCTGCTACCAAAAGCAGTACCAAAACCCCAACCAAGTCCTACTCCAACGCCACAGCCTCCACCTTCAAAATAAAATTGAATATATTTAATTCATGAAAGGTTAAATGCATAATAAATTTAAGTAAAAGGTTACAATAAACTTTGAACCTAACAAATTATAATCATTTTGTGATTAGGGTGGGGGAGGCTATGGAATTGGGTCAACTCTGTTCCATAAATTATCAATTCTCTGTCCAATGGATATATCAATATCAATTAATCAAAATGGGACTAACAAAACCAGAAGGATAGGGGGCAATGGGAATTGGGGCAACCATATCCCATAAATTATTAACTATCAGTGACCTGATTAATCCAACTGTCTATAAATGATAATGGAGAGGAGGGAAATCGCTACCGACATCATATAGTGAAAATTAAGTAAACGTTCGGCAGTCATGGCTAGAGGAGGCGGCGTCGGTTCTCAATTGTAGAGTTGGTCGTCTTCCTTTCTCGTATCTTGGTCTACCGATTGGGAGCAACCCTCGGATATTGGGAATGTGGAAACCAGTTGTATATACAGTGCGACAAAGACTTTTCAAATGGAACAACAAACAATTATCCATTGGTGGGAGAATAGTTCTCTTGAAGTCAGTTTTGTATGCTTTACCAGTCTACTTTCTTTCCTTCTTTAAGGCTCCGTCAGGTATGGTCTTTAATCCTAAGGTGGTTGAACATTAATACAGCTCTGCACAGTAAGGCTCTGGAAAATTTTCAGCAGTTTGAAGGACTTAGCAGATCTGGCATGAAGCAAGCAGAGAAATTTCACATAGTCTGGTTCGCCTGCATTTGGGTTTTGTGGAACGGGCATAATGAAAAGGTGTTCAGAGATAAGCAGCGAAGGTTGGAGCAAATGACCGAAGAAATTAAAATTACATCGTGGAAATGGTTGAAATGCAAATTGAAAGGCTTCAACAATGGATAATCAATCCGTTCGCCTGTTTGGGTATCGATAGTTGAATGGCCTAAAGGTGAAAGCGGTGGCGTAAAGGAGCTTCAGTGGCAGATGAAGTTTTGCCCCGTGGTGGTTCTAATTGCTGCTCGAGCTCAGTTCTGTGTCGCATTGTGCAGAGTTGTTTTGCTCGGTCGGTCTCCTTAGTCTCGCGAATTATACTGCTGCGGATGGAATTGTGTTTTTTTGTCAGGAAGTTTTGCACCGTGGTGGTTTTATTTGCTGCTCGAATTCAGCTATGTGTCGCATTGCGTTATACCGCTTTTGCAACAGGATGTCTATTACAGCAGGCTGAGTTTTTGGCTCCCTGCAGAATTCTAGCCTTTTTGATTCCTCTTGTTACACTTGCTACGGTATGTTGGTCCTTTGAATTTGGAGTTTATAGGTGTATCGGTGTGGTTTTGGAGTTTGCATATGTTTGTATTAGGTGGCTATCATGTCTAGTTGCTTTGGCTTGTGATGCTTTGGACCCAAAGTTCCACACTGTTCGTATCAGCTTTAGTCTTGGCACCCCTTATGCCATGACTTGTTTTAATAATATAATTGCTCTTTTGCCTCTTCAAAAAAAAAAGTAAGTAAAAAAAGAAAATTCATGAGTATCATACCTGCACCAAGACCCAAGAAGTTCAATGGCATACCTGTACCAGATGTAGATAAAAGAACATACTAGTTATACCTCTAAAGTAATAAGAAAATTGGAGGGAGGAGGAAGTGAATAGATCTAGAGCATTTGCAGAGATAAAATTACATGTAAAAATACTCCTCAAATTGGAGAAGAATGCAGAAGCTAAAACTGAAACATGTCACTCAATACACAATTTTTCACTTTGATAATTCAACTTTGTATCCTTTTTTTACAGTAAAAAAGCAAAAGAATGGAGAATCTAACCATGAATTTGCCGCATTTGTAAATTGAGCAAGCCTAAGAACAATAGAGATATGGTGTATTATGATGCATAGGTACGAGTACGGTATCCGGTGGGGGTTCTGATACCGGCACGGGATATGTAATTTTTTTTAAAATCAAGGTACAGGTACGGTAATAAAAAATAAGGGTTTTCTATAAAATATGACTAGAGAACTAAATTGTTAGCTTCACAAAAAAACATCACTATAAAATTTTAAAAAATAAAAAATAATGTTAAGATACAATAACGGAAAAATTAAAATACTATATTGATATTTGAGAAAACCACAAATTTCACTCGAAATTGAATAACGGAAAAAAATAAAGTACCGTGAGTACGGTACGTGTACCTAGTACGGGTGCGTAGCCGGTACCGGTACTTTCACCATTTTATTGTATTCTTTTCTTGGATTTTGATACTCGGAAAGGAAATAACACGTGGAATTACAACACATAGTAAATCAATTCAATTTTCTCCTTCATTAAATGTGTCACTTCAGTGGTTAGAATTTGATTTTGTAACTATATTGGAATGGGCCTAAGAGGCCCAAGCAAAATATGGTTTGAATCTAGCACTAAAAAGTCGTCATCTTTAAAAGGAGCAAATAGATCAAATTGCATAGCCTAACACGGAGAAGACCCATGTGCCCATTGCATTCTTTTCTTGGATTATGATATGCAGAAAGGAAATAACACAGGGAAGAACAACAACAATAGTAAATCTTGTCACAACTGCAGTAAAAAGAAAATAAAAGCTCTAAACATAGATCAATTCAAATGAAAGGAGTCAGCTAAGCAATCACTTCGCTAAAAATAAGAAATAGCAATAGCATCTATCCTTATTGATCTATCTCGTAACTCCTAAGTAAGGACTTTCATATATCAGATTCAAATTTTGAAACCTGTGGAAATTTTATTTATTTATTTAGAAGTAATACTATTAATGATAATTTACATACAATTAATTAGAGCATTGGATTAGATAATTTGAACCAAATAAACCAACCAAGTTTTCTGTCACCTCTGTTCTATAGATTATGTTGGACAATTTTGACTGTAACTCTGTTTCTTGTGAAAAGCCGGATAAATGTGAGGCCCCTAAAAAGTAGGAGTACTACAATGCATTCCAATTCTCAGCTCTCATATAGTAACTCCAAATAAAATATAAAATAAAAAATTTCAGAGATCACTTCCAAATAATCCATCAATATGGCAAGGTACACACAAACCTATATTCAAAGCTATTTTCAAACAAATGACAAATTTGTAAAGGAGCGGCAGTTCTAGATATGCTTCAGAGCCACGTAAATTCTGGCTTGCAGTATATTCTGATGATCCTATTGAAGCTATTTTCTACATTGGCTATTTGATGTAAGGGTTGGAGAGTATACATGGATGGAAAAGACCTATGAATATTACAAAAGCAATCATTTTGATGTGTTGTTTCCAAAATTATCTTTTTCCCTAGGCATTGGTTGGTTTTACCTTGAGAATGAGGCCTCCAAAGATGCTTGCACTGATTCTAAAAAGGTTTGTTCTTTTGATATTGTGAAACACATTGATGCATTCTTGGTCGGTCATAAGGAAGCTAGTCATTATGTTGATGGATCAAATACATTACATGCAAGAGGAACAACTATGGGATTGGAAGGGAAACCAAATGGGGTTTCAATTCTGGGAATTATAGAAGATGAGGTATTAGATGGATAGGAAGCATCAAATAGGCTTGTTATTTACTTTGATTGAGTTGTGATGGATGAGGGTTTAGTTCCTCTACACAAATGTAGAGAGGTTGACATTATGGGGAATGGTCAAATGTTTGAAGCTAGCTCCTCAAACTAACAACAGTGAGATCTTGGAAGAAGGAATCTGGTCTTCAATGACTATTGCAAAAGGATAGTTTTTGGAAGAAATAATACTACTCACTATTTTTTAGTTCAGTGCAACAGAGAAGTTGTGTAAAAAGCCACATGGGAGGAAGAAGTGAATGTTAGGAATCAAGTTCTTAAACTCAGACTTGAGGACTAATCTTTTTCTTAAGAGAGACGAAATTAGACTGAAACTTTATAGAAGACTTGACTAATGAAAGTAACAACATATAGAAAAAATTTTAGCAAGAGATACTGAGAAAGATGATAAGGGTGTATTCGGTTCAGCCGAAAATATGCTAGTAAAAAAAGGAAATGAAAATGAGTCTAACAGCTATTTCTTGTTACACAAATGAAGAGTTAGTAGAAAGTGGAGTACAATGAATAAACCATCAATTTAGTCCCTATACTATCGTTTTCTCTCCAATTCAGTCCTTGATAAACTATATAAATAGAATAAGTAATCCCTAGACCATATAAAAAACCTTCAGTTTAGCCCCTAAAGCGTATGAAAATTAATCAAATTATAAGCATATCTAACGAATTTGTAAAGCGAAAACATTGACATGAGAATTGTATAAAAAGGAATTTGAAAAAACCAATATCAAATTGGGGAGTAAGAATCGGTTGCAGAATGTGAAATTGAAGCATATAGAAGAAGAGTGGAGAAACAGACCTCCGAAACCCCATCCTACACCGAAACCGCAACCAACACCGAAACCTGCAAAGACAAATATATGAGTGCGAGTGATTAGGGTTTGGAGAGGATGATCGTGGTAAGAAATTCGACATACCAAATCCGACGCCGGCTCCGTTGAAGTTTGTGATTACCATTTCTCTCAGTCTATGATAGTTTTGTTGATCTAATCTAAGCAGAGAAGATAATGTTTTTCAGTGTCGTGCAAAGCGAGTTATCAAAGTCAGTGAGTCCAAATTGTGTAGAGCGAGTTACCTTTTCCCGTGTAGAGCTTAGAAACTGAAAAGACCTTTTGGACCCTAAATTGTGTTTCTTTTCAATATTTTACGGGTGCACTTTTGGTTTCCTCTCGTCCTTTTATTAGGATGCTCTTTACATTTTTGTGTTCTTCTCTTTTTGCATATGTAGCAATAAAGATTGGAATATAAATTATTAATTTTAGTGATTTGACATTAATGAAATATTTTTTTTAGCAATAATTAAGTATTGAAAAAAAATACATAAATAATTATATTTTAGAGAAAATTACGCAAATAACTATGTTTCAGAAAACTTCACAATGGAGGACTCAAGTGAGATGACGCATGCAATCACCTTTTTTCCCTATGCGCCATCTCACTTGGCGCATGCACTTTGTTATAGTCAAGTGAGATGGCGCATGCACTATAAAAAGGAGAGGAGACACTATCTCACTTGGCTATACAATTGTATTTTCTATAAATAAATCACACATTTCTCCATCGTTCTTCACACTTTTTCGCACTGTCTTCTGATTTTTTTCTCTGTTATTTGCGTCATGACATCTCCCATGATTTTCACCAGAGATGGATACATTATTTTCTCGGTCACCAAACCTCCGATGAAAATGAAATTTTGGCACATTCACTCAATGGAACGCCTGAAGAGAGAGTTGATGCGATGGTTAGAGGGAGACATCGAGGCTGGGGAAGAAATTAGAAGGATTCAGAGAAGAAGAACAACCATCTCACTTGCAATTGGAAGACCTAATTTTTGGTTGGAGGAAGTCAGAACAGAAGGACACGTAATGGTGATGATGCATGGCTCAGATGAAATTATTTTGACGGTTGTAATTTCTTAGACGTTTTATCGTGTTTTTATTTGTTGTTTGCGTATGGTTTATTGTAACAAATGCTCTTAATGAAAAATAATAATATTTATAACTTAAAAAGTGTAGACGGTTTGCATACGATTTTTATGTTGTCGAGCTTGTAGCCCGAGTGGGACAATTTTTTCCGATTGTGTTCGACCTGACGACATAAACCATACTTTCTTTCTAGCTTGTCAAGGGAGTCCATTTCAGTTGTGATACGTTTGCTTTTGGGATGATCCTTTTTATTCCTTCGCATTTGATCGGTATGCCATACTATTTCCCCGTCATATGCAGCCTAATAATTAGGTTTCGCTACCAATGGGAATCCATTGTTGTATACGTCGAGCAAAATTTCGGACTTGTAAATGGGAGATAGAAGTTATAATGCGTCTTGATTAGTATACGCACATCTCACAATGACATGAGATTAAGGCATACGAAAGGCTTGAAACTTGCCACAATTGCACCAATGAGATGGTAGTATAACCCTATACTCTTGTCTTAGAAGCCCCTCGTTATGGTCGATTGTCTGTTTGACAATGAAGTTATGGTTGTGTCGGTGGAACCTTATAACCAGATGGGCGTTGGCTTTAGCATTTTCCGCCTTAATATACTTCATGCAGCTTTCACTCCATAGTTGTCCCGATTGTAAGACCGCATTCCACATTTCACCTCTTTTGGCAAATAACGAAGCCATCCTAAAATATGTTGATTTGACCAAAGTGGTTACAAGGAGGTTTCGTTTGCCTTTGAATACACCGTTCACGGATTCTATAAGATGTGTTGTCATGTGGCCCCATCGTTGTCCATTATCGTATGACCTTGTCCATTTCTCCACCGGAATATTATCGATCCACCTACATGTGTCTGGATTTGACAATCTGATCTCGTAACGATAATGTTTGAATGTAGGTTGTGTTAATATATACCCCGCGTTCATAATTGTTTTCCTAAGAGCCTTGTATTTGATCTCCCTCGTAAGATTTTGTACGATATGTCTAATGCAGTAGACATGCGTAAAAGGAGGGTTATGCCAACCGTTTGCAGGATTATTGTACGCACTCTCAATAGATGCATGTCTGTTGGAGATCAAACAGAGATCAGGTTGAGGAGCCACGTGTGTTCGGAGATTTTTGAGAAAGAAACTCCAAGCACCACCAGTCTCTCCCTCGACTAGAGCAAAGGCAATTGGGAAAATGTTGTTGTTGCCATCTTATGCAATTGCCATCAGTAGCTTGCCTTTGTATTTCCCGTACAACCATGTTCCATCAATCTGAATAATAGGTTTGCATGATGCAAACCCTGTGATACAAGGTTGAAAATCCCATAACAGTCAACTGAATATTCCTTTTCTGGTGACATGAGTACCATTTGGGGCGTACACTGGCAATGTTTCCATAATATAAATAGTTCCCGGAGAATACGTCTGAAGTGCATGCAGGTAGCACGGAAGTTCTTTGTATGACTCCTTCCAGTTTCCATATACCTTTTCAATCGCCTTGGTCTTTGCTAACCACGCCTTTCGGTATGACGTATAGTTGTATACCGTAGTGATGTGAGAGATTATGGTTCTCACCTTCAATGACGGATCATTATTGATAAGAGGTAGGATTTCTTGACATGTGAGATCATAATTTAGTTTACGATGATTCTGTGATTGAGTAGAATTGATGCACGTGTGGGTGGATATAAAACTTATCACCCAACAATCACCTCTTAACTTGTATCATGCAGTGAGCCTGAACATACAATATGGGTGAACACACCTGAGCTTGTACCTTTCTGGATTTATTCGATCTACCTTAGCATGTGAAACTTTTTTATGGCTCGGATACAATCTTATATATTACGAAATTTGTCTTTCTCTTTTAAGTTTTCACCCGACTGCATATACGGATTGAAAAAAACATCAGATGACGGTTCATCTCCGCCCATGTTAAAGTTCGTCATGTGTGGATGTGGTGTGTAGATCTCATTTAGAGGTATTCTAGATATCTCATTGTTGTACCCCAAAATTTTCCCTCTCATTTTATCAACATTTCTCATCACAAGGCTCTTGGAACTCAAGATCAAGCTAGGGTTTGCTCTGCTCAAGACACCTCCTTGCACTGATGACCTAAATTAGGGTTTGAGTTTGCACAATGATTTTTGGACCTTCAATGCTCAAATTGACTTTCATACTTCATGTTGGACTCATAATTTTGCTCATACCAAGTTTCAAGCCTTGGATCAAATTTTTGCCCAGTCAATTGGACAGTTGGCCTAGAAATCAGCTGTATTGGGGAAAAAGTCAACTGTGACCAATTTACAGTCAAACCTCATGAATTTTGACCCACATCAACATTATGAACTCATATGAACCATTTGATCAAGTTTGGATCACAATTCCACAAGAAATTTGATCAGATCACCAAAAGGGCAAAATGGTCATTTTTAGGGTTTTGACTGTACAAAGGCAATTTCTGACTTTTTGAACTAGCCAATGGAAAATTGGGTTCAACCAAGGACTCAAGGACTCAATGGCATCATCTTTACCTATTCAACAAGTTCAAAAGATCTCAAATGCATGGGATTGACAGATGAATTTTTCAGTCAACTGATCAAAATTTGATTGTACACTGAAAAGTCAAACTTTGACTTTTTGGTCAAAATCAAGTGCCAAGGGTCATTTTTCATCAAGATGTGTCAAATTATGAAACTTGTTCATCAAGAAACCCAAAATTGCAAATTAGGGTTTAAAGTTGAAAAAATTTCATAACTTAGAATTTTTCTAAGTTATGAAATTTTCTTATTTTTTCCTAACTTTGTGCCACATTTTCACCATGATGCAAATGGATTCAAACAAAACTTACAACATTAAAGTTGTATTCCTCCACAAAGTCTACAACTTTGATTCACAAAGTTTTCTCAAAAGAAGCCTAGATCTCAAGTTATGATTTTTGGAACAAGGGTCCCTAAAACTTTTAACTTAGAGAAATTTTGCCCTAGTTTAGGTAGGATTTTGACCCATCTTCTTGGCCATTTTTCACATAGTTCCACTTGGAGTATCAAGTTGCATTTCAAAGATGGATTATAGATCATATTGCAAGCTTTCCAAATTGTCCAAGAACTCCTCAAACACATTTGTGGTTAGGGAGAATTGAATGCTTGAAGTTGGCAAAAACTCACTTTGTATCCATGGCCAATACATGTTCACTCAAGTGGCATTTTCAAACAAGCATGCTTTGTACTAGTTTTCAGGCCTCTAAACAAATTCACACTCCTTAATTAAATGCAAATCCATCAGTCTAAGCATTTGTTTTGGCCATTTGGGCATTATGCACAAAACTAAGCCTTAATTAGAAAAAGGTACATTTCCATTTTGGAAAAGGTATGCTTTATGTCAAAACATGATCTTTGAAGCATAGGGCCAAGATCTCAGAAGCCAAATCAAATCCACAAATTGTAAGTATCAAGAGTATTGATCGGAACTTTATGAGTCTGTCGGGATACTAACTGCAAGTATACAGTTCAGTCGTTCTAGTTTTAAAAGATTATCGAACCCACAGAGACTGAGGATCAATCGCATACGATCTGATGCTACAGTTTGTCTAACTAAGCGATGAATATTTGATTTTTGGGGGAAACAGTTTAATTAAAAATAATAGTACTAGTTATACCGGTATGTGATAATCGGACTTCGGGAATTCGGTGAATCGCTTGGCCTATAAAGTATTTCGATAAAAGCTAATTGTTTAAAAACCTGAGACATACACTCTCGTGTTCATGAAATAAGTTATGCTACTAAACCTAGTGGATGCACTTTAAATTTAATAACACTTTTTGAAAACAATTTGAATTTAATTAGTTTATTAAAACACTCTCGTGTATTTAAAAATCAATGTTTCGTTACCACTATCTGGGTTGAACCCCAACTCTCGCATGCAGGTTCTTGCCTTAATTAATTTCCCACTCTCGTGGCAAAATCGTGTTAATTAACCTCTCACTCTCGTGACAAGGTTAGTTAAATTAATCTTGGAAATTGGA